GGTATCCCTTCCACGATCTTCGTTCCTTTCGAGTTTCGCGCGAAGCAGATCGACATCATACCCTGATCCCTTTCCAAATTGGTGTCTCACGCGGAAGTTATAATCGACATATTCTTCAAAGAGATTAAGCCCAGAACCTATGTTTATTCCTCCCATGGGACGACGAGAGCACATCGTTGTTGCCGAGCGGATCCATAAACAGAATACATTGGTATTTATATTGGTAAAATATGCCCCATCCCATGTCTGGAAACGACACCTTTTCCAGATTCTGTTAGACATCGGTTAGACAATGGTTAAAGGAAGATAGCGTTCATGCAATCCATTTTTGGCCTTAGACATCGGTTAAACGATGACTTTCGAAAAACACCGGGAAAACATCGTTCATGCAATCGGCCCTATATATATCTACGGAATATTACCATGAAGTAGAATGTCTCCAAATATATTCGGTGTATTAAATATTTAATGGCATTTTTAGTGTTTTACATCTCTCCGATTGGCTTTAGTGGGGAAAAAAAAATCTTTTAAACATCTTCATATAACATTTGGTGGCCTCAACGATCTGGAAAGTGTCTTTCCCCGAAATAATCCTTCGTAAGACTACTTTAAAGGATTTCAGCCTTCCTTATGTTCCTGTTTTGCCACTGAAGGCAATCTATGGCAAAGTTTCTGCTTTTTATATGATCCTGATTTCCTGCAGTGATAATATTTCTTAGAAAATGTCCAAATATTATATTAATTTCCAACCAGGAAATGTTTACCTAAAGTACAACATTAAATGTAATTAGGATATGAACTGGTACGGCTGAACAACGTTGTTTCTTTCACATGTCTCATCGCTGAGACGAGAAAATGTGCACGAGGAGGCAAATACTTCCAACTTTAATTTATTTTCTCAAATCATCATCCTTATAACTACTTGTATACCAGGCTTCAAGTTTATACCATATTTAGAGCATGGTTAAAATTATCGTCAACCTGTTACTCACTGACTCATGAACGATTGCCCATTATTTTTATTACGCTTCGCCATTTGCCGATTGAATTTAGTAAATTCTACTACATGGAAACAAGTTTGATCATAGTTAAGTTACACGCTCTCGATAGTAGACTGTAATAAATATTTCTTTTTTTGTCTATTACTCTTCACGTCAGAGCATAATGATTTCCTGTATAGTGGGAAGTGCATAGTTCTCAGCATATTTTTTTTTCTTCCTGGTACAGCTTACAATCCCATTTCGGCGATCCAGCCTGGATTTTTCTCCTACTTGCCGAACATGGAGATATTTCATTGTCTATCCTGCAGCCTCGGACCAATTTTGGGAAGTTGGTCCTTAGAATTTTTTAATCAAGACATACAAGAAGTTCATCTGGAAGAAAATGTCATCTCTATTCTGGAACCGGATGCAATCAGAGGTAACCTTTCACCTGCTCCTCCACATGTAGTTTCCATTGGAAGTAATTGATTCATCCATTACAAACCCGTAAAGGTGCATGACGAACTTTGAAAACTTTTCCGCTGCTAAACTCTTTCGTTTTCTCCGCCTTGATTTCAGGCTTAACGGTTGACACACAATTATATTTGTCAAGCAATTATATCAGGGAACTGACGGAGGAAGTCTTCCGCCCCATGCTGGATGTTCTCTCTAGGGGAAATGGGTATATCGATCTTTATGGTAAGATTCAGGTTGTCCTTAATGCTCTATGATATTGGCATCATAATATCATTCTCTGCATTTGCATGTTTTTCAGGGAACCCTGTGGATTGTGGCTGCAGCATGGCCTGGATAGTGCTGAACCCAGATTTCCTGGCTAGCGTATTAGGTGAATGTCTGGGAGGATATGATTTTCAAGACCTTGATCCGAGCATGTTCGAAGAATTTTGCTAATAAACAAATCCACTCATGCAGGCAAATTCTATATTCCAGTGAATTCCGTTGAAATTAAGAAAAATAAATCCAAATTTCGTCAAGGCTGATGATGAATGGTCTTCATTAATGGACGTCTTGAAAACTTATTTGACCTCCTCGCGCAACCGTGATATTCTTGTCATTTTTGCACAGAAAAAACCGACCTGGTGCTTTTAAAAATGGCAAATTTAATTGCAATCAAGTTTGAATCGGCCCCTTTGCGGCACCATTCGAATTACCACTTGGATCTACCGACTGACTTGGTGTCCATATATTTCATTTCAGGGCCTATAGAGAATTCTTGCATACTACTTATCTTTCATGAAAGAAACCTTTTTTTTTAATCGGGTCGATTTCGCTGTTCGTAGGCCTTTAAAAAGAGTTTTAGTATATATACCAAGAAGATGTTTCATGGAAAAAATGACATGGGATTTCTGAGTACACATGGAAATAGAGAAGGCGTTTCAATTCTCCATGTATGGTGAATTTGGCACAAGTTTTTCCTTTCTGTATTTGAGGGAGAGTGGAAAGGATGAATGAAACTGCCTTTTGTATTTTAAATTTTTTTCGGGTTTTTCACAACAAATTAATCAAAGCATAACACCTTGCCATTTCCGATTTCGATTAAATTTGGTGCACAAGGTTTTCTTGTCCCCTAACCTAAAAGTGCCAAATTTCAGGTTAATCGAGTTAGGTAATCATATGTGACGTGGAGGCCAAAACGAAATGCTACCTGATAACCTCTGATTCAAATGTTCCTGTAACTGAACAACTCGCCCCAGCGAATTTGAAGCGCCATCTCCCCTGAGTTGTGGAGATCACTCCATCTCGCTTTTAGGAATGTCAATTTCGTTCCGGGATTTATTATTCTTATTATTCCCCTTTTGGTGGCTGCTCCTGGGAAGTTTTCGGAGGAAAGAGACCAACCATAGGAAATTTAATGGATCGTAGGCAAAAAAAAGTCATTTTTGTTGCTTCCAGCGCACCATTTCGGCATTAAAAAAAAAAGAAATTGATGCCCTTAACTTAGACTTAGCGTGATGGCTCCATTGTTGCCAGACATCGTTCCTTCAACCGGGTTTCTTCGAGGATTCGAGTTTCTTCCTGGATCTGTTCCATGTGGAGAAAGATCGGCTGCATCGTGGAAAGTATTGCGGACCAATTCCAGCTGTATGAAGAAATGACCCGATGGCGACTACTTTGGCGCCATCTAGCATCGGTTGTGTGAACCTTTGCTTCAAGCTCTTGTCCGATGAATACCAATTATATGTTTCAGGAAAAAAAAATCTTAAACGTTCGATGAATGTCCTCCATGAATAACATGTTTCCTGATCAAAAGGCACCTTAACTGAGCGCCAAAGGGTTCTCATTCTGGTACATTCGATGTCCAAAGGCCTCCTTGAAAGCATGTTGAACGTCATCGAAAGCGAATTTGCGTTTCTTGGGCAATGTCCTACGCTTAAAGCCTGGAAGTCTCATTTGACCCGTGGATGTCCTCGGCACCCGATCGGTGAATCGAGCGAAGGAGGCAAATACGTACGGAGGGGAAGGAAAAAAAAAAGTGCCCCTATTTCATCAAGCACACTTTAAATCCCTGGATCCCCGGCAGCAGGCAGGAGGCATGACGGAGGCATGCGACCGTTCTCTTGCGACTATAAGGGCAAATCTCGTTTCCTCGATCTTCCGAGAGATGGCGAGACGAGAGCGAATCCCCGATTTTCGGTGGAAGTTGCTTCCCCTCCCTTTCGTGCGGTCGATTTGCAAATTTCATTTTGAAAAGGAACATCCTCGGATGATAAGGAAGGGTTCTGTGGAAACCCTAAATTCATAACTGCGAGCGTTTGACCTATAGAGCTGTCGCAGAAACGCAAACACGCAATTGTCGCACGGCCTGGCTAGCGGTCAGGATCGCGCACGCTCGCTGGGCACTCATACGTTCATTTCTGGAGCTTCAGAAAATCGGAGTAACGAAACCTGTTATTCCGACTCATCATCATCGTGCTGTTTCTTGATTTTTTTTCCATATGAAAATTGCAGAGGGGGTTACCCTTACGAAAAATCCACACGTGTGGACTACCCTAAGTCCACCGGAGGATTTGAATGAATCCACATGTGGATTAAGAGGATCAACATCGAGTCCACACTGGGATATTCTCATGTCCACATTAGTCCCCCTGTGGACTTGTCCACATCGGGGCACGACAGTCCACATTAAGTCCACACTATTCCACATGGCTAACTGTCAGTCCACGTGCGTATCCCCCGGGGGATTTGGATAGTCTCCCGGTGGAATACAGGGGGATTTTTCGTAAGGGAAAAGATGATTGTTCTTCACCATCCACCAGAGAAACTGATTTTATCTTGAACCCGACGAGATACGTGTTCATAAAGGCGAACATGCAGCCACGAAAGGAGCTGGGCACCAAGGTGAGCCTTCTAACCCGAGCTTCACGGTGGTCATGCTCATTCTTAGGGCGTCTGTCCAGTTGCGAAGGATTCGCTGGAGTGACGGTAATGGCGACTCGGTCTCGCCATCATTATATTCTCTGAGGAGAAGAGATTGTCGCTGCACTTGAGTCGATCGGAAAATTTCCAAGAAATGGTCGCAGGAATATATAGATACAATGGAACTCCGATCCGCGTCACGACTACCGCGAATTACGGATTGCGAAATGTAGGGCCTTCCACCTCACCACATGCCTCATTCCCGGCGCGTTATCGTATTTATCAACGGTTTTCCGAGGAACTGAAAGAAAAGAAAATCTTTCTTGTAACGGAATTTTTCCTTTTAACAATTTCTTCTATTTCATTTGTAACTCATACCCTCTCAAATTGGCTTCCTCCTCGTTCGCCTCTAAGTCACAGAGGTCAAGATACAGAGGAAGGATGTCTTAAAATCGCATCCTTCGGCAAAAAAAAAAAATTCCTCCCATCCTTTGTATCAAGTTTAGTGATATTACAGTCCAAGCTGATCAATATACGTATATTTGACTTCCTTGCATAAACAATGTAGTAGGCTACTCATCACCTTCTTCCTCACGCTGGGTATTTATGTCTATTTTTGTTTCCTATCATGGGCCCCGGTCATGTGCAGATTTTCCCATCCACAAGGAGAAATAATAGAATTCGCTTGAAAAAAAAAAAACTGTATAAAAACTGTGAAAAATCTCTCCCGGCCTGCATTGAAACGACATCCACCTCGCCTCGAAGATGCCCAAGTGCCTCGGCCTCCTTTCCCTGTTCGTCTTCCTTCTCGCCTCCTTCTCGGGGATCAGCGGGCAGAATCCTTGTCCCGAGCCCAGTGACATCCTTCCCTGCACCTGCATCCATGATGAAAGCCTCAACGCTGGGACAGTCGACTGTTCGGAAGCGGGCTCGATTGACGAAATCTTCTCCGTCTTCAACGAGGCTCCCTGGCCTCACACGGAATTCACGTGAGTTGATGCAGGGTGTCTCAAACGCCACGTGATCCAGAACCTAAAAAAAATGTGTTAGCAACGAATAAGGGCAAGTACAGTGACAAGAATAGTTTCATTTGGAACCTGTTGCTAAACTTTTTAAGAACACAAAAATCAGTGATATTAGGTAGAAATTTCTGTCACAAATTACCACTCAATACATTCCATATGCATTTCCCATTTTTGGATAATCGTGTTTTTGTTGGTGACTGGAAGATCAGAAGTTCAGTGTTTTTACAGGAGGATGCTGGAAATGCCCGCCAAGTAATCGGCAGACATTTTCTCGCGTTCCCGCCTATTCAGGAACACTCGCCGCAGATTGGCCCCTGCGACGCCGGCGATGCGAGTCGTGATGTTGCACTTGGAAGGAGAGAAGGTCCAACGGATTATCTCTGCTCACATTTTCTTTTCAGATACCGCAACAGAAAAAACACATACAGTATATCTCTACCTGAAGGGTGTCTTGGAAAGGGCTTCGCATACACGACTCCAACCCCTGCATACTTAATCTCTTGAAGGGGTTGGAGTCGTGTCTCCTGTGTTATTCCTATCTGTTCCGTTCTTGTATCTAAAATGTGGGACTAACGCAGATTTTACTCCTGTCACTAGAGGGCAAGGAATGCTCACCGCTCCGATTTTTATTTTTGCAATCGCAACAACACCATTGCAAATATAAGGCATTGCATCATTCGATGTTCCAGTACGATGTTTGGGTCTTGCAGTTGCACGTTTGATGAAAATGTATTGAAAACATATTCTGGAAAGCGGAAGTACATGTATCTTAGATATGCTGCACACATGGCTCGCACATATGAAACGTATTATAAATTGTTAATTTCTGATCTTTGTCTCTTTTTCATGGGTTATAAAGTTTTCCATGGTTGTGGAATTTCATTTGCTATAACTTAATGGGTAGTTGCTAACCGTGCGAACTTTTGGAGCTTGTCTTTCCATATTGGTTTAATTCATGCGAGCCCACAATGAAGCCTACGAACTCCGTCGTGCGCTTGAAGTGTGGGCGCCAGAAAGGGGGGGATCCGGACATGATGTGAGAATGTATCCATGGAATATATATTTGAAAATTTTGAATAAAAAAAAATCAGCATCCTTCAAGTATTCAGTGCCTCTGAAATCTAATGTATGTGCTATCGGCGTTATAATGTCGACAAATAAGCATACTACCATGGAATGAAACTCTTCCAATTTCTCTGAGATGCCATGTCATAGTGAATCTCATTCTTTTATTTGCCTGCAGGAGATTTAACCTGACCTACAATGAGGGAATACAAGAGATACCCGAAGGAGTTTTCGGAGAAGTCTCATTCGAAGAAATATTCATTTACCGTACCCCAATTACCAACGTACATCCCGGGGCAATCCTGCCCTTAAAAGATCGCCTTTGGGATCTGCGAATCGGGTACGGCGCAATGGCAGGCTTCCCTTGGAACATCATCCCTGAACTCCCGAATCTCGTCAGAATCTCCCTCTACGGAAATGCGTTTACCGTCTGGCCGTTGCTCGAAAGCGACAGCGTGGAAATCATCATCTTGAGCGGGAATAGCATAACCTTCCTTGAGCCTGGGTTTCATCTCCCAAAATTGCGTGTTCTTGACGTGGGTGAGTTACTAAGAAAGGAAGCAGAGGAAATCCTGTCTAATTGAATTGAAGCACATATATTTCTCCGAACGCACAAGCTTATGAATTTGTAGGGTTGAAGAATATATGCAATCGTAACGTGGAGATATCTAATTCCCCGAAAAGTTATTGCAGAATTTCATTTCGTCGTTGGGAATGGAGTAACTTTCATGAAAGTTATTTATTTCTCCGTTATCAAAGGGAAATAAATCATTTAGACTTTTATCTTGCAATTTGAGCCCCAAATCTTCAGCAGTTTTCGTATAGAGAGCTTATTACCCCGAAGGGAAAATCATCTCTATTTTATCACTGAAACGAGAAAATTTACATAAGGAGGCAAATACTTCCAACTTTGATTTTTTTTTCTCAAATCAGCATCCTTATAGCTACTTATATGCCAAACTTCAAGTTTCTACCGTATTTCGAGTGTGGTTGAAATTAGCGTCAGCCAGTTACTCACTGACTCATGAACGATTGCCCTTTTTATCTTGCTTCCTGATTTGCAGATTGAATTTAGTAAATTCTACTACATGGAAACTTGTTTGGTCAGGGTTAAATTACACGCTCGCGATAGTAGACAGTAATAATTATAACTTTTTTGTCTATTAGTCTTGGCGTCAGAGCATAACGATTTCCTGTGTAGTGGGAAGTGCATATTTCTCTGTATTTTTTTTTTCTTCCTGGTTCAGCTTATAATCCCATTTCGGCGATCCAGCCGGGATTTTTCTCCTACTTGCCGAGCATGGAGATATTTCATTGTCTATCCTGCAGCCTCGGACCAATTTTGGGAAGTTGGTCCTTAGAATTTTTTAATCAAGCCATACAAGAAGTGCACCTGGAAGAAAATTTCATCTCAATTCTGGAACCGGACGCAATCAGAGGTAAACTTTCTCCTGCTCCTCCGCATGTAGTTTCCATTGGAAGTCATTGATTACATGACAAACCTGTATAGGTGTATGACGAACTTTGAAAACTTTTCCGCTGCTAAACTCTTTCGTTTTTTCTGCCTTGCTTTCAGGCTTAACGGTTGACACACAATTATATTTGTCAAGCAATTATATCAGAGAGCTGACGGAGGAAGTCTTCCGACCCATGCTGGAAGTTCTCTCTAGGGGAAATGGGTATATCGATCTTTATGGTAAGACTCAGGTTGTCCTTAATGCTCTACGATATAGGCATCAAAAATATCACTCCCTGCATTTGCATGTATTTCAGGGAACCCCGTGGATTGTGACTGCAGCATCGCCTGGATAGTGCTGAACCCAGATTTCTTGTCTAGCGTATTAGGAGAATGTCTGGGAGGATATGATTTTCAAGACCTTGATCCGAGCATGTTCGAAGAATTTTGCTAATATGCAAATCCCCTCATGCAGGCAAATTCTACATTCCAGTGAATTCTGCTGATAATAAGAAAAATAAATCCAGATTTCGTCAAAGCTAATGGTGAATGGTCTTCATTAATGGACGTCTTGAAAACTAATTTGACCTCCTCACGCAATCGTGATATTCTTGTCATTTTTGTACAGAAAAAAAAACAGACCTGGTGCTTTTAAAAATGGCAAATTTAATTGCAATCAAGTTTGAATCGGCCCCTTTGCGGCACTATTCGAATTACCACTTGGATCTACCGACTGACTTGGTGTCCATATATTTCATTTCTGGGCCTATAGAGAATTCTTGCATACTACTTATCTTTCATGAAAGAAACCTTTTTTTTTTATCGGGTCGATTTCGCTGTTCGTAGGCCTTTAAAAAGAGTTTTAGTATATATACCAAGAAGATGTTTCATGGAAAATATGATATGGAATTTCTGAGTACATATGGAAATAGAGAAGGCGTTTCAGTTCTCCAAGTATGGTGAATTTGGCACAAGTTTTTCCCTTTCTGTATTTGTGGGAGAGTGGAAAGGATGAATGAAACTTCCTTTTCCATTTTAATTTTTTTCGGCTTTTTCATAACAAATTAATCAAAGCATAACACCTTGCCATTTCCGATTTCGATTAAATTTGGTGCACAATGTTTTCTTGTCCCCTAACCTAAAAGTGCCAAATTTCAGGCTAATCGAGTTAGGTAATCATATGTGACGTAGAGGTCAACACGAAATGCTACCTGATAATCTCTGATTCTAATGTTGCTGTTACTGAACAACTGTTCATGTTAGAGCCTTGATTAATGTGAAAATATCCTGGAAATTACGTGGGAAATTGAAAATTGAATAAAGAAATATTTAGAAATAAAGAAATGCATTGTCGTACTGAGATGTTGAGGAGTATTTGACATGAGCACAGCCCTCATTTTCTTACGTATTTTTAATCTTACGTCCGCCAACTCGATTCAGAATTTCTAATCCAGGCAGACAATTTTCATATTACATGGATGTCTGTAAAAGACTTTTGCATGTTGAAGTGCAATGCGGACCTTCACACCGGAAGTGTAAGATTAACTCTTCTAGTGAATCGATGAAAAATAATTTGTTATTGTCATTTTTAAAGTGACGATACACTTTTCGGGCAACCCTGAAGATTGCCCACGTACCGATTGAGGTAAAAGGAGAATACAGGCTTATCAAGAAGGTGCTGGCGAACCATGTTCTCAAACGCCGTTGGGACCTTGTTCACAGAGATCGTGGAATATCCCATTCCAAGAATGCCATCGAACTTTGCCGAAATGAAGATGGAACCTGGCTCGCTTGTGGCTTCTGCAAATTGTCGTTTATGCACTGCTATGCCGCCAATCTGAAATGATAAAAAATCTAACAAATCGCAAGCAAAAAACTTCGAAAAGCTGCTCAGTCTGAAAAAATGCCCAAATCCACTTGGTCTTACGAAACAAACATAAATTTTGGTGGTACAATTGGTTCATCACATCAATGAATTTCTCTTAAAGTGGGTTAAAAGTTCTCAAAATATCCCAACTGCTTTTCCCTCAACAAGACCAATTCCATCTGTGTGAGGAAATGACCCTGAGGAAATGAGGAAATGAAATGATGGCTCTATGATATAGGCATTAATGCTCTATGATATAGGCATCAAAATATCATTCTCTGCATTTCCATGTATTTCAGGGAACCCCGTGGATTGTGACTGCAGCATCGCCTGGATAGTGCTGAACCCAGATTTCTTGTCTAGCGTATTTGGTGAATGTCTGGGAGGATATGATTTTCAAGACCTTGATCCAAGCGTGTTCGAAGAATTTTGCTAATATACAGATCCACTCATGCAGGAAAATTCTACATTCTAGTGAATTCCGTTGAAAGTAAGAAAAATGAATCCAGATTTCGTCAAAGCTGATGGTGAATGGTCTTCATTAATGGACGTCTTGAAAACTAATTTGACTTGGTTGTATTAGACATGCAGGGTGCGGAATTGGGTATCCTTCGTTCCTTTCCCATCCATCAAATCCCCGTGACAATATTCATGATCGAAATGGAAGATGAAATCGACCGCCCCAACATTATGAAGCTAATGCGTGAAATGGGATATGTAGATCTTGGGATGGCGGCAAAAGACAAGATTTTCGTCCGGGAATATATCGTGTCTCCTGACATGGAAATGAAGCCAGGGAAGCCTCTCCCAATGCCATATTAATATTGCAACTGTATCCAGGCTTTTAATTGCCATTCGAGAATTTATGGCAATGGCGAACGCATTTCCGGCACGATGACTTAAGTTGTTTGTATTTCTCCTTCTTGAGAAAACATGAAACCTTGGGGATTTTCATGACAAGAGAGGCAGACAAGAGTTCTGGACGTCCTGCAAACTCTTTTTACATCGTGACTCTGATTCCTTCAGATCGGATAATAGTTTTTTTAATAATTATGATGAAGATAGGAGGAATTAATGCTCTCACATTGAACTGGGAATTCGGATAGACGGGAGTGCATTCCGCCGCGTGGAGAGGAGCTCCATCCCTGAGTCCTCTTGGGTTCCCACAGCGAATGGTTACTATTCTTCCTTTTGGTGCTGCGGAACTTCCGTTCCACCCTCAAAGAAAGTCAAGAAATACGGTATCATCGGGGGTCTTCCTCAGGCACAGCACTATTTTCTTTCAGTAAGGAAGACAATTCATCATATCTCTAAATTCGTCACAAAGAAATGTACGATTCCTACTCACCCTGAACCAAAGACTGGCAGTCTTCGCTCTGCACGAGGGAGCCATTCGCTCTTTGAAAATTCCGAGCTCTTCGGGAATAAAAAGTGAGCACACCGGGAGCTTTTAGAATTTGCTCTCTTATTACTCACCAAATGCTCTCTCATCGCTCGTATTGAAGTGAATACCTTGACGTTCTTCGCCAGGCCACTAGATGGAGGTAAGGGTCTCTCTTTTCGCACAGTATATAACATTTCCCTTCCCTCTTTACCTGGAATCGTCCCCCGCAGGATTGTTTAGTACCTTGCCATATGTCTCACCTAGTCTCATTATAGGAATCAATAAATACGGACACTTCATCATTTGTTATCCACATATTCAAGACATTTTCATAGAGTCCAGGCCATATACAAGCTCATATTCCTATTGAGAACCCTTTTGGAAAGCGTATGATTTTATCCGCATTTGAGATCTAGAACATACAGAGTGTCCGTGAACTTCATTCAATCACACCTCAATGAAATTAGGTAATAAGTAACTGCTATCGCGGCATTACTTCCTTGTTTTTAGGGAGTAAAATCGCTGACTCCAGTTTCGCTCCCTTTCTCGGAAATCGCTCACTCTTTTCTAAGAGTGCACTTCGTAGATTTTTTGTTCTGAAATCCCTCCACAAGTTCTGTTCTTCTGATGTTGGATCATGTGAAAATAACTGGGTCGGGTGAAGAAGCTGGATGCGGAAACTGTGTGATGTCAGGAAGGCGTCCTATGAAACATTGACGGTCAGGTGGTTCATTGTTGTGCGAAATGAGGACTCCATTCATCAACTCTTCCCCCCATAAATTTCAAGAATCTCTCCAGTAATATTACTTCAACGCGGTAGTACAAGTAGAGGGAATGAAATCGATGTAATCACCGTCGTCATGCAGAAAATCATGCCCATGACATTGCCAGCCGAGGCCTGAGATTCCAAGCATTCCCTAACGCCAGTCTCCTAATGCATCCACAGCATCGAATGCTACTACGGTTATTGATGCTAGGGGCTATGTCTGGTTAAGTCCCAAATTACTATCCGTCCACTACATCGGCGTTACACTGGTATGAATTCTGTCGTATTATCAAGACCAATTCATCATGGTACAACATTCGAGGAACCAGCGGACACAGATCTTCCACAATCTCTGGACTTTGCATCGGTTTATTCGAACACTCTTCTGTGAGACACCCATGATCTTTACTATTTTCCTAATAATAAATAAATAAATGTATGAAAATAAATAAATTTATAAATAATAAATGGATAATTAACAAATTTATAAATAATACATTTATAATTATTAAACTTATAATTAATGAATTGATAATTAACAAATTTACAATTAATACATTTGAGTCATTCCAATAATTCTCCGGATCTACTATATGGAGGACGTGTGGCTTGGCCCACCAAGAGCAAGACACGAGTCTGATGCTTTGGAATGGTCCATTTCCTACACTGGAAGTAATTATGAAAATGCCAAGTTCTTTGCTTTCGACATCGACTTTGTACTTTCCAAGGTGAAAAAAGATCTATTTGGAAAAGGGATCTACTCCACCCTTATCCCGATATTGCGAAGTCTTATGTAATCACTTTTATTCTCGAGGGCTAAATCTAGCTGTATCTGGTGTTGACCTGGAACGGAACGATGAACTACTCCACTGTGAAGTCTGATGGCGCTTGAAGGAGGAAGTCCTCTCACGCTTTTGATTGCTGAAGAACAACGTGCTGTAGTTTTTGGAAAGAAAGAGCGAGTTACCAGCGGAACGAGAAGTTTTGCTGGTCAATGAGTGCCTCAAGGACTTAGCTTTTCTGGCCGATTTTACCAGTCGCTAGAACACTTTGACTAAGAGACTGCAGAGGAGTAACAAACTTTTCACAAATCTTGCGAATGATGTTACCTTTTTCAAACTGATTTTTTTTTATCTTTGGGGAAGCTACTGTCACCGAATGACTTTCCGAACTTACGTGATTTCTCTCAACGTTACATTTGCCGCTTTGGGAGTTCCTACCGGTGTGAAGAAGCATTCTCGACTATGAGACTTATCGTGAACAAACTCAGTTCGGAGATGAACCTAGCTGGCTTAATGTGACTGGCCACAACTAACATGCAACCAGACATCGAAAAATCGACATCAGACATATAGGTGCGGAAGTCACATTAAAACTGATCGGCTTCACCCGCAATAAGTACCCACAAGTTTTCATCAAATATTATTCTACAGTATTGACGATTGCATGTAGCCCCGTGCTCAAAAGTTGGTCACACTGCAGTAGGGCTCTACCCTTCGAAAGCCAAGGAAAGTACACATGGTATACTTTTCACTTCATTTTAAACAACTGCATTGCTTCAGAGCAAAAAGTTTCAGAAACGGGACATGTGTTCTACAAATGCAGTAGAATAAGTTGTCCTTCTTGTCTTGACTTTCAAGGAGACTTATGCATATCATCGACTTAGTAGACATGACTTTTTCTTCTGACGATTTGATTTTGGACGTCGAAGGGGCGTCAAGAGGAGGAGTAATCCCAAAAGTGTTTCTGTATGAAGCCCGGATTTGTTTTTTGCACAATTTTTTTGTACCGCACAGTTTCAACTCGTTGAGGTCTCATACTAAAGAACAGGATTTCCTCTGAATTTTTGTCGATTGATGCAGTGAGCGCTGGGAAAGCCCTGATGGCACACACGCACCTCATTTCGTTACACACCTCTGTGACACAGCTCATTTGACCATATGTTCTGTCCTGTTTCGTTGCTAGATTGTGGTCGAATTTTTCTTTTAATAAAGACCTAAGAAAAGGCCTCAAATCTCAAACCACGAAGATGCATATATGTCATTCCATGTCATGTGGTCAAACTTTCTCCTGTTTTGCTGATGCACCGACTGGGATTTTGCTGGTAAAATTCATGCGTACTGTGGGTTATGAGAAACGGTTAAATCCGAAATTTCAACTGTCTGGGTACAACAGTCTTTGAAATATGCCACTTCAAAGTTTGAGAGGTAAGAGTAAAATGACCCCTCAAACAAATGCAATATCTCCCGAACTACTTCAGCTAGAAACATGAATAACAACTCATTTCAAAGCGAGTAGCCAGGCATATATAACTTCATCTACGGGTTCTTCTGTGCTTTAATTAGAAAAATGATACAGCTTGATAAAATTAATGAAATAATTACATTTTCAACTTTAAAAAATTCACAGTAAAAATACGCATAGCTGTAACAGCTTCATGGCGCCTATCATTCTCTATGAGATTGATCGGAATATGCATGTATTTTGTTTTTAAGTTGCTCCAAAATTCTGCTAAGTGTATCTGAAAGTCCATATATTGCCATATTTGTTCAACTATGACCTTTAATAACTGGTCTTTGAATCCAAGTCCAGTTTTGCTTATGCTATAGAATGATAAATCCTTAAAAACTATTTTAAGCCATGAAATTTCGTTTGTGTTTTTCCGAAATCCGGATCATTGAGAAAATGTTTCCCTCGACCATCTCGAAACCTCATTCACCATCAAGCGCTTAACTCCACCTCGAGCAGGAAAACATATAGTTGATATGATAGGTTGAACACGGCTTGGGAAGCACATATGTGCATTTTAAAAACGCTATGCTTTTTAAAATTGCATTGAAATTTAACTTGTTTTGAACACGAAAATTTAAAGTCTTTCCTCAGATTTTTCAGATATTCCATTAACAAGATCTTTATATTTCGCTGCCCGTTTCTACTAATCTCTTCATTACATTTGTAAGTGATATGTGAAGAGCTAGAAAAATGCCAATAATAGAATTCCTGGAAAGCAATCCTATCCAAAACATTCATGATATCCAAATCTCGATATATGTATCCTGTATATTTGAACTAGGAAACAAGCACTACAATTAAACTATCTCAACCTCACCAAAGCAATGGGCGCTGTCTAGTGATATATGTTCATGGTAGTATCTAGTAATGTAATTTTAATATTGAATCAGTGTATATGAATTTATATATTTCAGATTTGGCCCAGCGCAAATATACAAGAGGAAAATTTCAGATTTGGAGATCGTGAGAGTTTTTAGTTAGGATTCCTTCCCAGGATGCCAAGTCTCATCACTTTTCTATCATTCATCTATCAGATCTATTTTTCTATAGCATAAGCAAAACTGTACTTGGAATCAAAGACCAGTTATTTTAAGATCATAGTTGAACAGAAATGGCAAAATATGGACTTTCAGATACACTTAGCAGAAATTTGGAGCAATTTAAAAACAAAATACGTGCATATTCCGATCAATCTCATAGAGAATGATAGGCGCCATGAAGCTATTACAGCTATGCGTATTTTTACTGTGAATTTTTTAAAGTTGAAAATTTGATTATTTCATTAATTTCATCAAGCTGTACCTTTTTTTCTAATTAAAGCACAGAAGAACCCGTAGATAAAGTTAAAGATGCCTGGCAACTCGCTTTGAAATGAGCTGTTATTCATGTTTCTAGCTGAAGTAGTTCGGGAGATATTGCACTTGTTTGAGGGTCCATTTTACACAGCCCTCTCTAACTTTCTAAGAGCATATCTCAAAGACTGTTGGACCTAGACAGCTGAAATTTCGGATTTAACCGTTTCTCATAACCCACAGTGCGCATGATTTTTAACAGCAAAATCCCAGTCGGTGCAGCAGCCACCTTTGGACCACATGGCATGGAATAACTCCCATCGTATTTGTTGGCACGATGCCACTCGGAGTGCAGCCGCAGTTCAGCGCCGTATTCGCGGACCTTAAGGCACATGTGTGGGTATATCCTGTCATAGAGCGATGAATGAATGGTATGAGAAGCTCTTCGCCATAGGAACGTGGTACTGGTACGGTTCGTGAAG